TAATGTCTACTGTGAAGGATATCATGAAGCCTTAATGCAATCGAATGTAAAACAAAAAAGTTATGATTGATGAAAGTAGTAAAAACCTCTTGCCACAAGATCATTGGGTCTCCTTCAAGTCCAATATTCATCTTGTATTTTAAAAAGTTTATGTTTTTTGTACTGTATGTATTGTCTTATAATGTACAATAAATAAATGCCTCTGCAAACTTATAAAAGTATAACAACAATACTAATGGCATTAAAACTACATTTAAAAAGGCTAAAGCACATGTTATAATATGAACTAGATCCAAATAAAACATGACACAGTTATTCATTCCCAGTTTCCCTTCTTGATGTTTATGTTGTTCGTAGTTCTCTAAGAAAATACAATTCTCTTGCCATACATTCTGTCAAGATCTTATTCTATTTGAGTTATGTCAAATGCGCATTTCTCTTACCATCACATTGCATTCTATTTGACAGACTTTATTATTGCTTATAACAACCCCTATTTAATCTATCTTTAGGTAGTAATACTTGAGATCCGTCACTTCAACTGGGTCCTGACATATACAAATATATTTGTTTTAATAGGATTTGCAAAACTATTATAAATCTTTGTTGACAATTTGAAGTTATTGTTGAATAAAATGAACACACTGTTATAAGAGAGTTTCTCCTCTCTGTTGCTCTATATTGAGTTCTCTATTTTCATGTCAGGTATTGCCATCAAAGAGTCAGCCAAGGTTGGAGACCAGGCCCAGCGGAGGATGACGAAGGGGGTGGATGACTTGGATTTCTACATCGGAGATGAAGCAGTAGACAAGCCCTCATACTCCACTAAGGTAGGTTACCCTGACAGCTCAGCATGCCCACACAAGGAACTGGCAAAGCAAATGTTTGATTTCCTCTTTTCTTTTAGACAGCCATTATATCCGTCATACCTGTTATGCATTTGTGAGTCGTAAACAAGAAGCAGATTAGGGGAGAGACTTGAACTGTTCAAACAAGGTTTTCAAATCCAATGACCAATGACTATCTGTGTTACTGCAACACTCTGGTGTATTAAAGGATGTTGATTTGAATATATGGGTGAATTGAAATTGTAGGAACTGCTTGGTACTGCATATAAAGCTATATGGAATAGCATAGAGATAAGATGAATTCCATTATTCCTGGTTATCTGGGAATCTAGGCATGTAATAAAAGATCAAAGGTGGTGCAGCAGCAGCAGCAGCAGCAGCAGCAGCAGCAGCAGCAGCACACTCCATTGTTCTCTTTGGTACAGGCAGTGGGTCTCTCACAGCAGATGAGTAGTGATGTCACAGGGTCAGCTACTAGCAATGGCTCTGCTCCATTAAGCTGTCCCAGTTAGCCAGACCTGTGTCCCACTTCTGTACAACATACCACCACACATTATTATTTTTATCACATAGAAAAGTGACAAAAATAAAGTATACATATTTGCAAATGTAGACTATTCTCCTAAAATGTCAAATACAAGGAATAGAGGGAGCTTAGCACATCTAAGGAAAATCTACTTCTAACAGTAAAATGAAATAGACTAAACTGAATGGTTGAGGCAGGATAATTCATACGTCAGGTTCACCCAAGATATTTTAAACTCTTTACGAAAGACAAAAACATTTCCTTCACATCATGACTACCAATCACATCGTTACCTCCTCACATTTATTGTAAAATGTGAGCATTCAATATGTTTTGTACAGCACATAATATATATGTTAGCTTCTTTGTTTTCCACTCAACTATACTTTCCATAAGTATTTTTGATGTACAAGTGAGGTGATGCGTCATATAAATATCTGCCTGACAGTCTGCCATTGGACTCACACATTCTTGACAATTTAGTATGCATTCTTTGCATACACAGAATCCACACACAAAAAAACAGCTGTAGTTGAAACTCACTACAAGCTCAGTTTGACCTCATACTTAGTATAAACTATGCTGGTAGGCCTTTTGGAACAGAGCCAAAGTATTCTGGAGGAAGACAACTGCTGACAATGATATAACAGCTGCATGACGTCATTAGATTTCTTACATGCTGTGCATTTTAGATGTTGTTGTTAGGGTTAATCTGCCATCCGAGAGAAGAGACTGTCACACATTATGCTGATGGACCCGTTGTCAGATTTCCTTATAAAGAAGGGAGAATTGAAGTCCTATAAGGGCTGCTGTTCACATGTATCTACCGGTAAAACCTTCATGCAGTTATATAAGCATTAACAAACATTTGTGGACTACAGTGCAGCTATTTGGCTTCAGAGGTTTAAAGGTAAACAGTTCAGTTATTTCTCAAAACACAGGTTGAATCATGTAGACAGGAAGTTCGATCAAAATATAAAACGTAATGGGATGAAAGCAGCGTGTCATTGAAGCACCAACATCTAACAGTATATGTTTTTGTGTCTTATATTTGTGCTTTTTCGCTGCAATTGCATTCTCAGTGCAGAGTTTTGATTTTGAAATCCTTATGCCAACAGTGGCCCATCCGTCATGGGATAGTGGAGGACTGGGACCTTATGGAGCGCTTCATGGAGCAGATCATCTTCAAGTACCTGAGGGCTGAGCCCGAGGACCACTACTTCCTGCTGGTAAGAGGCTTAAAAGTGAAATGAGATTCCACGTCTTCTAATGACATTTAAAAGTTCTCCTCTCAGCGTGACATGTAATGGGCCAAAAGCCAGTTAACCACGTATTGCTCCTACAAACAACAGTTATTTGCAGCCAAATGTACACTTTTTTCTATCTTAGCTGATTACATATAAAACATTTTATTAAACAGATATACATTTCTAATATTCTGAATCTTTCAAATGAAACAATCCTGTCATCATATTTTGTTGTTTTCTTCTTCTCACAATGAGCGAAGCATTTAATCATCATGACCAAACCAAACAATCAAAGTTTAGATGAACAGCTGGTAATATAAGGACATGCTGAAATGCATTGATTGCTCGTTTATTTTTAACATTGCATTTATAGTAACAGTTTGATGTGAAAATAATCTCTGAGAAACTGGAACCTTTTGGTAAGGAACATTGAAATTCCTTGAAATTGTAATGTTGATTGAAGACAGGCCTGTAACTGTATTTGTGTGTCTGCAGACGGAGCCTCCTCTCAACACACCAGAGAACAGAGAGTACACTGCGGAGATCATGTTCGAGTCCTTCAACGTACCTGGGCTGTACATCGCTGTGCAGGTGAGAAATGTATAGCAGGGAAATACATATCACTTTTGGTTAATTCTGTCATCGAATTTATAATTCTGATTTAATGTATACGGTCACTGATAATGTCCATTTTATTTTATTTTTGGGTGTTTTTCGATTTCATTTTTAGTTTCTCTTTCTGTTCAAGGCTTTAAAATGTCACAAGATGTGGTCAAATATGTGTGTCTACAGTATATTGTACCACAATGGGTACAATATGATTTTTTGATTGTGGGTTCAATGACGTATATGAATGTTTCCAACATTTGAGATTGTTGCGTACAGCAAACATTCATGTCAAAATTTTTATTTCGGTGATGTATATGTTTTTTCCCCTCATTAATCGGATGTGCTATATATTGCTATATATTTTACTATCTATTGCTAGATATTTTGACACTTTAAATAACAGAACAATTATGAATATTGTGTTTACATAAATATGAAAGGTGTGACTTATAAATAATATTGTTAAAAACATTTAAAGATTATTTTTGACAAAAGAAAATACACTTGGACAGAAAATATAGGTGTCACGACATTTACCTATGTACAAAAGCTCAAAAAATATTCAGGTCTAAAAAAAAGTCTTCTTCTCATAATTTAGGCATCTGTACATTTTCGCAAAGTGATTATGACATTCTGGTATAGAAATATCCGAAATGTGTTACAGAATAGTTGCATCATGTTAACATGTGAGTATACAGCCAGGATATTAACAGTATGACATTTCTGTGTGTGCCAGGCTGTGCTGGCTCTGGCAGCCTCCTGGACATCCAGACAGGTGGGAGAGAGGACGCTGACAGGCACCGTCATCGACAGCGGGGACGGTGTCACCCACGTCATCCCTGTGGTGGGTTTACACTTCTTCAGACACGCACACTCCAAAACACACAGCTCCGTGGACTGCTCGCTGTCCCACAGTGTCGCTCTCAAAGAATCAACACTGAGTATGGCTAGTTTAGGCTGTACAGAATAGGTACGAGCTAACGTCAAAGGTCCCATCTCATGCTTTTCTGGTTATTACCCGTCCCCTTGTGTGTTATGAAGGTTTTTCTGCATGTAAACGGTCTGCAGAGTTAAAAACCCTCAAAGTACACCCTGTAGCGAGTAAAACTCTAACACAGAAAAGACCAGTCTATGCTGCCCCAGAACGCATCGTTGGAGATTTCTCTTTTTCCATTTTTTTCTTCCTGGTACCAAGTGACGTAAGGGGCTAAGTGACGTAACGGCTACGGAGCTCCTCACACACCAGGATCCCTTGGGGTCACTATCAAACGCAGTGGGGGGACCTTTATCGTAGATTTTCAACTATCAGGGAGTCCAATTGACTTGCATAGAGCTCCCTGAACGTTGGTAATAGACGAGTTGGGATCGCGGAGAAACACTCACTCAGCCTTATCTTTTCTCAGCCGTAGCTCCGCGGATTTCTCAGCCTGAACTCAGCCTAGGGTGACCAGGTCCCAACAAACCAAATGTGGGACAAGGAGAATGTTTCTGTGGGACCCCCCCCCGCGCCCGCCCCCGGGGGAAGAAATCTCTATTTTTTCTATTCGGTTTCATTTGGTTTATTCAACAGCATCCAATAAACAATGACAGAACGTGAAGTCAAAATGCAGTAACAATTTAGTATCTTGATAAAGAAAAGTAAACTAAGGCTAACCAAGGCAGCAGGCATTATTCACTTCAAGTGTTTAGAAATGCATCTTCCTAATTCAACTAGTGTATTACCTGTAAAAGTAGGCACAACATAAGTTAATAGATAAAATAAAACCATAAGTTCAAATCAAAACTGTCCAGGAGGGAACAAAAACATAATAATACATACAAATAAAATAGCTTTCAGTTTTGTCCATCACAGCAACAACAGGTGGGCCCCCCCACAGTGTGTGGGCTATTTTGTCACCTAGAACCACTGGTGTCTTTAACTCTGTCAAACAACTCTCCACAGAGGCAGGGGCAAGCACATTTGTTATTATAGACGCTGCTTTTGTACGACCACATGACATTTTCTTTACTACCTCAGTCTGGAAAAATGGTCGGCGCTAGCTTGTTACCACAGTTACTGTGGTAACACTTGTTATTTCTGAGTGGCCATCATTTTTTGGTTTGAGTAGGAATGTCTCCATAGAGTGGGATGTCTCTTTGAGCGACACGTTTCTTGTGAGAATCGCATTCTCGGTGTCTTTTGACGTCGTATTCACCGCCATGTGAAATTTCTTCTTTTTTTTTTTATATATATATATATATATATTTTTCAGTTATAAAATAAACAGACGTTGCTCCAGATAACAAACCGTACATCAAAAAATGTAACAACTAAACAAAACGTAACGGGGGTGGGGGGGGGGGGTGGATGCAAGGATGACTTCCTAAGACAGCTGATTGTGACATACACAGGACATTACATACACAATACATTATATAGACCCTCCAGAAAAACGCGGGCAAAAATCCTTGATTATGCGGGCTAAAATCCTTGATTATGCGGGCTAAAATCCTTGATTATGCGATTAAACATGCGGGGTTTTATGTGATTTTATGCGGTGAAATTGCGGGAAGTTAGGAAATATGCGGAAAGTTGCGAAATATGCTAAATATGCAGGGGAAAAGAATAACAATTTTTTTAAATATTGGGCTGTCTTATTTATTCTCTCTCACACACAGCCTGCCACTAACGTTAAACCCCTTTAATATTCAATTAAACACATTCAATGTTTATTTATTGTAAAAGCAATTGGGCTATTTTAATCTCACACCACCCCCCACACACACACACACACACTTCTCCGCCTCATTCTGTTTTCATTTACTCGTTCGTTATCTGACCAGCTTCAATCTTGTAGGCTACTCACTTCGTTTCTTGTAGCCCTCGAAAGGGTTTTGGAGGTTGATCCCTCGGTGAACGGGAGTTGAATGGCTTTCTTGTCCGCAGCAGC